CGCTGGGAGTTGAGTCTTTAAAAAAAATCAAGCTTTGCCTTCACAAAGTCTAATAGTTTTAGAACTGAGAAAAAATCTTTTGGACCTTGTAAGAGAACAGTACCTGGAAGGAATTATTTGAAGTGACAGGCAAACCAGCCACACCACCATTTATTCAGGCTGATGAGGAAACCTGAAAGAAACTCCCTGGAAGAACTATTTTAAGGAACAGCAGCATCGACCTGGCCGGAATCGTGATGAAAGGCTGCAATTTTATATTGCATTTTTATATGCTGGTGCATGTGTTAGCAGATGCATTTATTTTATGCCATCGTTTTGTGCAACCCAGAGTGGGGTGCACTACAACACTACAAAAGCGGGGGGGGAAGTGGTAGGTCTGTAACATTTACATTTTTATTCTCAGAAAGCTTGCTCAATGCAAATTACAGTGAGGTTAGGTTACAGTAGTGAATAGACTGAAATATAAGAAATCATGCTAATTAATTCAATTTTAGAGATAAAAATAATACTAAAAATATTCATGTGCTCAGAATGACAATAGCGTATGTATGCTTTCTGAACGGCCAAAGATATGCAATAACGACTGTTTTAAAGGTAGGAAGGACAGCCCACTCAACGCTGACAAAAATCTTAATGTGGAAACAAAAAACTGAACTACAATTCCCAGTAGCACGCGAGAGAAGCAGCACGCGCACGCGCTGTTTGACAGTGAAAAAAACTTTCTTTGTACGCATGCGCACATAACGTTGAACCACTCCACCGCACGTGGTCGGGATAGGACTTACCTGCTCCCCCACCCTCACAGAATTCGTTGACGCACAGCGAAGCAAGCTCTGTCCGTAGCGCTAGAATTCAACGCATCACGAGAAGCGTCAACCCCATCTACGCACGCGTACTTCCGTTCAACGCTGACCAACCCCTTACAAACCGACCTCCTCGAGGCGCTAGCGTGCCGCATGACAGGCCGTACGCATGCGCATTTCCGTTTCGATGCGCTTCCGCTGTACCATTCTATTCCGTTGGTGGATATATCGGTCGGGTCCCGCCTTATCTTCCTTCTGAGTGGGCAGAGGAGGCAAGAAGAGACTTCCCATTGGGCCGCGGTGTTGCTATGGCAATAGTCGACTGGGTGGGAGTCGGAGTTGGTATAGTATAGGAAAGGCGGAAGGAAGATGGCGGCGTTGGCTTCGGAGCTGATCCTGTTGAGCGATTCAAGCCGCTTCCGAGCAGATAACTTGCTGAGCAGCGAGGACTGGGGTGAATAGTAGAAAGAGAGGCAGTAATGGGCCGAAGGAGGGGGCAGAGCCTATAGGCCTGGAAGAGGCTTGGGTTTCAGGGTTGCGGGGGGGGGCGCTAAAACATAAAAATACTCTGATGAAAACTCTCTGACTTCAATTGGTGGTATCAGGCCGGTATGCAATTGGGTATAACTTTCCGCCAAGGGGAAGCTTCACCTGTTACAATTCTGCCTGCCAGACGCCTAATTGGAGAGCGCTCTTGGTCGTTAAAGGTTGCGGCATAAGGATTTAACTGTTTATCTATCTAACAGGAAGATCTTTCAGTGTGCATTGCCGTTCGTCTTTAAGGTGTTGCAAGACTGGTTCTTTTGACTAGCCTGTAGTTATTAAAGCTGAAGAGATCTGATATGGAAGAAGGAGTCTTTCTCTCTGCATTTTTTTTATTATACACGTTTAACAGAATGCATTGTATAAACGATAGCAAAAATTATACATACTGCAAAACGAGTAGGGGATCAAAGGATATTACTGTAGTTGGTATTAACCTGGCAAATACATGTGTGATATGGAATTATGTTATGTGGCAACACATGCTTCTGTGTAATTGGTTTATATAAGCTGTCTTTCCAGTTTTGTTCTGGGTTGGATGGCAGTGTTAACTGCATACAGTGAAACGAGGTTGGGGGAAGAAGCATGTAACTCTAGTATATACAGCTGTTAGTACCAATAGAGGTGAATACATGTAGCTCAGGGTTGAACTGTGGATTCCTTGGGGTTCTCTGAGCTTGGTTCTTTTCTTGCAAACATTTCGTTATCCAGCTAGGTAACATCTTCAGTGGCTAAAAGATATGACGCCGGAAGATGAGCCCCTCAGGTCGGAAGGTGTCCAATATGCTA